TTTATTCACATCAGCCGTCTACGTAAGAACCTTCCCTAGTAATACACTCGTAACAGCGCCGGTAGAGTGCGTCGAACGCTCTGGAGAGTTCATTTTCTGAGATCGCTTTCAGCTCCTCGGTACAAGCCGAAATGTCATAAAAAATCGTCCTTTCATCTTCAGTTTCAGCTTGGGGAACAAAAAATAGTCGGCCGGTTCCAGATCAGGTGAATAGGGCGGGTGGCATGCAACAGAGTTCAGCTGCCCGGATCCCGATACTTGGGCTGGATTCGACGAATGCGGCGCATCAGGCATTTCATAGCCTCCAAATAGAACGTAGAATTTACAGTTTGCCCAGTCGGAACGAATTCATGGTGAATTTTGAATCAAAAAATGCGATGAACATTGTTTTCACTTTCGAATTTTGTTGCCTGACTTTCGATGGCTTTTGCACACCGGCACGGGTATCAACGTATCTTGAAAAATGACATTAGGTATAATCTTTGATTCACTTATTGAGCTACCGGTGCAACCGGTTAGCCAAGTTTGCGTCCTTTAATTTCCGCTGGAACGACCGGTTGTACATCAAACTTGTCTCTATATTGATGGTGGATATGCCACCGGTGCGAACAGCATCCACCGACCTTCGGGCTCGTTTGATCCACGATATTCTAACCTCTACATTTTATCAGTTTTTGACAACTACAGTATTGTGTGAAAAAATGAAAGAAGAAAAGATTGTAGTTATCAGCATAGGAGTCGCGTGAAATTTAATGTTTTTTTTCAACACAATTTGAAATAAACAGAGCATCTGAAAGCAAGTCAATGCCTCGTAAGTCCGAAAATGTCGATTTTCTGATTTTGTTCTGCCTCGTATTGATTTGAGATCGTCGATATCTGAAAATTTCTTGGTTTTCTGATTTATAGTTCTTATATTGATTCTCGGAGCGCAAGTCTCTCCGCTGGATAACATCTTCATCAGAATCATCACTCGAATCGCTTAACAAACGTTCCACGACAATACCAACTGCTGCGTACATTTCCATAATGATTTTAAATGATACGGTGTTCAAATTAACAAGTATCCATTTACGATAAAACAAAGGTTAGGTTTTCTCATATGACAGCAACCTGAAGGCTAAAAATGCGTCTTTTTATTAACGACAACGGAACCGTTTGCTGACGTCATCACATCAGCTGTCACCGGATCCATCAGTGATGGAATCAACCGGTGAATTAAAGAATATACCTAGTATGCCGATTTTTTTGACATTATGCTGTTTTTTACATTCTATTCTACAAGATGTTAACTTAGCACTTAGTTGTACGTGTTGCCTAAACATCATGAGGCTTGTTATCCATTTTTGGCTCTGATGTGACCTAAAATCTGCTTCTGAAATGGCATTACTGGAGGTCTAAGCTGTAAGTTGTATGTGTTGATGATAATTACATTGGGTTCTTGTCTCAAATCAATTGAGATTCAAAGCTAGTAATTAGTTGCGCATTCACATTTTCTTATCCATTCTGAAAATTACATATTCAAATTTGCTGAATTTCAAAAATGAGAGAGATAAGAAATAATTATATTCACTGTACACTGTCGAATTACAAGGCATATACATGTTACAACAAGGTATAACTTTGAACATAACCTCTCTTCAGAAAAAAAAAACATAAATAACCCGTCATATTCGGCATATTCAGTAATGATTTTCTCACACAGCAAATATCACTGATTTTATACACATGCAGACCAATACACATAATCATCCAGATGCCATCTTGCTACTCAACCAACTTTCTTCTCAGAGATAAAAACTACAGACACGGATTACTCAGCCTCGCAAAACTATGCAACCAATAATGCGCAGTTTAGTTGAGTAATTCCTCCATAGATGGACGTTCACCACGATCCTAGTGAGCAAACGTGGAATGACTGTTTGCGCACTAGCAACCATCTAGTCTGCAAGTTGACATCTTATAGGTTTGTTTTGACGTTTTATAGGTTTTTTTACATGATACCCGTGGTGTACTCAACCAAGCAGCGGATTGACGTTTTGTTTGAGGACCGTAAATGAAACACCAGCTTTCGTCGCCCGTTACAATAAATTGTTTAAAAAAAAGACATACGCAAAACTTTATCGCACTTCTTTGTTCCATGTCCCGGATTTGCACAAGGTCACACGGACACAGTTTACACGGCTGAATGTAACTCGAGTCTGGAGCAGGTCTGGAGTGACCAAGCGCGGTGAAATTCGGCACACATACTTCAGACAAGGCGCTACACAGTTCCGGGGTTGTTCGAGAGATCACGCTGCTTGTATCGAATACAGAAATTCAGTTCGGGAACTTTTCAGACATAATGTGCATATAGGGATGCGGCATTCCATGAGCGCCCATATAGCAAAATCGAGGGGGGCATGTTTGGTCTACAGTGGTTGTGCAACTATTCAAAATGGTAGCAGAAATAATATTTTCTAAGTTGGGATGTTTTGAAGAGCCAAAAAAAACTCACACGCCACCTCTTATCCAAAGGATTGGAAAATATTTCACTTTGAAGCATAAGCCATGCAGCGGGGGCGTATGCTGCCCGTCTTGACCCCCCCCCCCCCCAACATAATCACACATGACTCTAATATTAACGGAGCTTTGCTCCATATTCGGTATATGTATGCACTGAAAAGTGTTTTGTCAACATCACTTACCAATTCTCGATTCGCACATCGTCACGAACACATTTTACGGATTGTGATGAAGGTTTTTCACCAAAATCAGTCAATAATCACCCTCACGAATTCGACCATTGTATAATAAAAACAGTAACCGTGAAAAACCTTACTAATTAAACCAAAACAATTATTGAAATATTTATGTTGAATCACAATTCCCGCGTTTCCTTGATGCGATGTTGCCAGCCTGCTCACTCCTGTTAACCATGATAGGGCCAGCTGGGTTTCTGATATCGACGAGTCGAGAAATGTTGACCAGTCATGTATAAAGTACGTATTAAATACAGTTTTAAAAAATACAAACCCGACCTGCAGTAACTGAAAAGAATGAAGATTTAATTGTGTTATCAAGACGAATCTATAAGGACATCCCAAATCTCATAAAATCCATGGAGGGGTATTTAGGCTGTAGACATGGGCGACAACAGGAATTTTTCTCAGGGAGGGGGATCATCGGCAAGAGAACTTTTTGTGAAAGTACCTGCCACCAAAACGTTTTGAAGGGCGAGGGGGTAGCAAAATTTCCTAAGGGGGCCAACCTGAAATAATCAAAATTGTACTGTACACAAAATCATGTTAAATAACCAAATTATAAAGTAAAACAGGGTTCCCAGGGGAGGTACGTATCATATTATTCAAAATCCATCAAGCTGACTTAGCCGTTGCAAGTGGAATAGGTTAAGGCTGATTTTTTTAATTGAAACCCATCGTTTTGTTTCTATAAAATGTTAATATGGCTGGTGGCACTCGCACTGCTAAAACGAATCCAACAACATGTCCAATGTCCATCAATCCATTTGGCTTGTAACCCATAAAATTGTTTGCCACGTGGTAATTTCGTGCATTTGAGTTGTGTCCATCACTTCGCTTTAAGCGAACTGCAACGTCATAATTCGAATGTACACAATTGCCATTTAACTAGCCACCCATTTGTTAATGGCTCAATCCAACCAGCAATGACGTTAACAAACCTTGCATCTCTTCCCTTCCCCTCAAGGGGCGAGTACCTTTTCTTAATACGAACACCAATGTGGGCAAGGACCCTCTCTGTGTCCTATTCCACAAGACAGATCCTAGCCAATGCTGCCGAACCATGAATGGTCGATTTGTCCTCTTGCTTTGTTCACTGATTTTATATCTTTTTGTGAAACATTCATTTAGAATCTAAAATTATTAATCCCTTCGGTGCACATCCATCTATCAAAAACATACTATCACTGGTGTATCCAGAAAAAGTTCTGGGGGAGAACTTGAGAGCGATTCCAAACACTGGATGAGGGGGGGATCACTGATACAAAACGTATCTCTCACGGTCAATGAATATGTCAACAGATCATTTTAGCATCCCACTACTCCTAAGAATGGGTAGGCAAAAAGGCAAAACCGAAGATTTATTTTTAGGTGTGGCAACCCCGCACAATGAAATCAATCGACTAGAGATGAGCACATCAGGGAATCATAGATATTTAAAACATCGATTTGTTGATGGGGTTTTTAACAAACAGATATTTTCTAAACCAAGTTTGTTTGAACATCACTGCCAACTAACAGCTAATGCCGTGCAACCAATATCTTCTGTTATGCGCTATACAAAATTTATGAAAACATATTCAAAAGCAGAATCTGGAATATATGTATGTCTTACACGTTACAAGCGCTATCGATAGAAGACGAATGACATAACGACCGTTTTCTTCATGTTTTGCCTAATTACGGGTACATACACACGCTGCAAAACGTTCAGCTCAGTTGCAAATACATAATGAAGATAGAAGGGGCTACAATACCAACGCACGTTCCATCGAGCACGCGTTTTGCAGCGTGTCGTGTCAGATCATTTTGAGTTTCGCCAGTGTACTGATGTCTTTCTCTATTTAGTGGTTCATCCACCATTTTCCATTTTTATGTTGTTTTCCACTTAAATACTTTTCAGGAGTATCCATTTCAGCTGTCGACTAGTCAACTAGCTACCGTGCTGCGACTGCTATGTATTTAATAAGTAGTCGTAGGTTTCAACGTGCGTTATTTTACAGCGCTAGTCTATAATGGCAATAAGCTAATACAGCAACCGCATTCCGCCAGAATGCTGTGTATCGTAGGTTCAAGGTACAATACTTAACTCAATAATTGTATATTGTCCCTGGAGTAATGTCGCAAAGTCTAACTTGCTAATCGATAGCAACATAAGAATATCGAAACAAAATCATCGATATTTAAAATATCGACATTGGAAATCTCGATGTTTCTCCCATCTCTACCGCTGACTTGATTAGTTCAACAGTTGTCAGGCAGGTGGACTTACAAACTTATTCTCATGGCGACCCTAGTTTAGAACGGATTTTGTGTACCTCCTGGAACTTTATTTATTCTTATATCCGCGTTAATTTCTACCGGGATATTTTATTAGACTTTACATTTTTTGTTTTCAACCGTCCGTACTTCCGCAAAATGTTATTGTGTTAAAATGTGCTGTGTTTATGTTTTGAGTTCAAAAATAACACTAGGATTTTCAATAGAAAGGAGAAGCATATTATATAAAAAGGTGAGTCTATTTATTCTTCTTTCGTTTTTATTCATATTGCTTCGTATATTAAGAACAAAGCCGTTTGCTTAAACTCGAAACAGGTATGTTTCGTGTAATTTGTTATTTTTGTAATGTTAGGTTATAACAAGAGTGCTATGAGTTGTGGATTATATGCCTGTGGCTCTAAAAAGTTTAGCATAGCGACGGAAACATATATTCGATATTCCTAATTGCTTCAGCCAAAAGGCGACAATTTAGCTATTATGCAAAGAGTATGTAAATTTATTGTTTGAATTTTCCGTGCTAGTCACGCGAAAACTCATGTCTAGTATAGATTTCCATACCTTGCCAACTGCTCTAAAATTTGCTCCTACATTTTACCTGTCTGATAGCCTTGCTGTGGGTTTAGAACAGTGATTATTTAAATATCCGTTTTCTATATCAATAGTAATTCATAATACATATCATTACATCGCATAGGAAAAAAATGAAAATACTGAAAAGTGTTTGGTGTTTTGAACTGTAGGATAGCTACATAGAATGTCCTGTTCTGTCTCTTGATTTGCTACTCTTCTGATCATTTTAGGGTCAACTAAATTCAAGTAATTTACTTTTATTCATAAAGAGGAATAGATCGATAACTGTACATCAAAAGAACTCATGCTTATATATTACTGAAGAACATACCACTGTGTTTCAACTCAAATGGATGATTTATCTTCATTATAACTCAGGATTGAGAGTCTTCATAAAATAAAGATGTCTTGGAAGATATAACTGGTAATTCATTGCACCCAAAGTTCAGATTACAGTATCTCAAATAGAAAGTATACATTTATAGGCTCACTCGAGGGCTCATTTATGAGTAATGACATTAACATCATGGCATACATTAAGTGCATTGAAGTTTTAACTTATAATTATCATGAAAAAAAAGTTGATAATGTTGTTCATAGTGCAATTCAGTATATAATAATAATAATAATCGCCTTTATTGAAACTGTACAATTCATACAGAAAAAAAAGTTGCAAATGGTGGTGAAGTTTAGCAACATACTACTCTTACACTTTACTACCCTTGCAAAAGAAATAAAAAGTTGTTAGGTAGTAGATATCAAAAACAAAAAAAGATACTGCACAAAAATTACTTATACACAAAGAAAGAAAAGAGGAAAAAAACGACAAGGACAAGAGCAGCATGTTTAAACTATGATTCCAAACTGATTGAAGATTTAACTGCTTTCTTGAAGCAATTTAAGGACATGCTTATGTCTCTTTTGGTTGTTTGTATTTAAATATTGATGCTATTATTATTACTATTCATCAAAATTCATTTTAAGGATGAAATTTAGTAGAATGAGGACCCAGGTTAAACCACTGTCAATATTGCAGTTTATATCTCATCCAAAAATGTTATCATGGATAATGTAATTTTTCACTTAAAATAGCTTCAGTTTGTATTTTGGATGTTGGAGAGAACATACACACTGAACTCTACCACACTTATTTAACAAACCCAATTTTACAAATAGACAAATAATATATATCATTATATCAACAAAACAAAAACAAGGTTTCTCTATATGAGTGCCTAAGTTTAAAAACCTGTATGCGCAGAAACAACCCAATACAGTAATTGAATAATAAATATTGTATAAAATCACTCAGCAAGACCAACAAAACATGAAACACAGTATAAACAAAATGAAAAAATACCTATATCTTTTGTCATAGATTTGACTTGAGATCTTAGAAAAAAGCTATCACTTATATCACAAAAAAAGAAAAGAAACAAATGGACAGATCATTCTACCTCAAAGCAACTTAAAATGAACCCATAAATGGTTCACGATTTTTCCAACAGAACATTTTAAATTAAACATTAATTTTTGTATTATTTTCAATATTCCTGATATTAGCAGGGATCTAAATGTAAAATTTAGGTGCTAGATATGTCACAAAATGCACTATAATGTCATGTAAAACAAACATCGAGACACTCTCTGTAGTTCCACAAGATGTAGGTGAATTGAAAATTGAAATTTCTACCCCTATAATGATTTGGTGAATAATTTTCAATGTTGCATTTTCCGTCATTTAATCTGGAAGTTACTGTTTATTCCTTCCATGCCTTCTTCAAGAAAATATTTCCTATCAGATTGGTTCACATTCCCTCCTATTAGGACCAAACACATCCAAAATGTATTCTGGTGGAATTTGTGTAATTATCCCATAAGGGCCAGACCCAAGCTGTGTGTTAGTCCATCACATTACCATAGGCGGGTATTTCGGCGATTGTCCACTGGTACATTTTCGGTTACTTATTGTTTGGGAAAAAAAGCAAAAATTCAGATTTTTAGATAATATAAGGCGGAAATAACTCTGAACATCAATAGTTGGGTTTCTTGGGCGAGACTTATCATAGTATGACTAATTTTAAGATCATGGACAGGATTAAATTTATATATAGGGCTCCTGTAACCCAAGAAAATTTTAGTTTTTCATTTATTCCAATACTGATTTACCTTTATATTTGTGAGCAACATGTCAAGAGCATAGCATCAACAGGTTAACATTCTTATAGGTATAATCAATGCTGTTAGATACACCATACTCAATTCGCTTTGGTGTCAAAACATTGTATCTCAACTCTAATCCTTAATTCAAGGATTAAAAAACAGAGACGAATTTCTTTTTTGACATAAGAGGGGTAAAGTTCGTGAACACTAAATGGAGTGTGGTGAATCTTACAGTAATCACTTCACAAAAATTGCAGATAACATCTTTAGAAACTAAGCCCTCATATTCATGGAGTTTCTCAGTTTCCATCACTATGGTCCTCAATAATACAGTAAAATCTTGAAAGTTTGGCAAACAAAAATGGAGATACATATAAGTACTCTTTAATAGAAAAAGCTTAGTTATAGTCCTGGAGTTCTTGCTGTAGCAGATGTAGTGGGCATCAATGGCTAGATGAAAACAGAATTGGCTGCTGAATAATGTGATCCCTTTTTCAGTAGTTGGGATCACTGTGCAACTGTACATGATGCAAGTGTAACACACTGTAAATCTCATCATGTAGAACAAAAGAAGAAAATGCCTATGGCCTGAAAGTTCTCATTGATGGTTGATGATGTATAGGTGACCACCAATGGAGTTCCACAGATGGGTGCTGGTGTATCAGGAATTCTCTAGCAGATGCTTGGGATTGAAATTAGATAAACAAAAAGGGGGTGCAAATTTGATGATGCTCTCATTTTTTCTTGCCTATTTCTCCTTCGAAACCATATCGACACTCTCTTAGAAAGTAGAAATTAGCATTAGGGGTAGGTTGTCTAGGTAACTGGCAACCATGTCAAATACACCAAGGACTGGTCAAATACGCAATTTGCATTTTGAGCATACTTTTTCTTTAGTTACTAAACTAAATCGAGAAATATTCCGCGTCGGTCCTAACAATTCAACATACAGCTACATGGTATAACAGAGGTTATCCAGAAAACCTCTGTTGTTCCATAGCTATTTAACAAAAGACAAATAAATGTATTCTTTTTCACGAGTATCCATTAGGGTAGAATAACAGCTGATTTATCTAGTAACACTTCAAAATTCCCCGTATCGACAATGACACGGATCCACCAACGCCAGGTAGACAGAGCCGTATTTTGTTTTGGTTTTTTGTACCCTACAAATTAATTTTGTACTTGACAACAACTCTTATTTTGGAAAAGATCATTTGCCTACAAAAAAACGCTACAAGCAAGTTTTATTAAATTTACACCCAATTCGGTATTGCCAACGTTACAGAGTAATACAAATATGTCACTTGCTAATCAACTGTTCAATTCATTAGATGTAAAAACGTGATGGATACTCGTGAGATAGGGTTTATGCTTGACATACAAATTGTTGCTAACCTAATATTGCAGATGAAGATCATCGCTGTATTTGACACGGTTGCCAGATCCCTTAATAAGTCTCCACCTCCAAGGCATCACTGGTTTTTTTCCTAATTTCAAAATTTGAGGGTACTAACTTGATATGTCTCCTAATCGGAACCATAAATATACCCTCTGAAACCTAGGGGGTGCGTTTATGAGGCCAGAGGCGGCGTGCTGGTACGTCGGCATTTTCTTTCAACTCCAATGCGCCTACCAAATCGCCGGATTCCGAGAAATTATTGCCTGCCGTGCGCTCTGTATTATTAAAAGCCAGCCGCCTCACCACATCAGCCAGCCCTGCAGTCCTCCGAAACATGCCTGCTGATGCTGGACACAACGTTGTCGAGTTTTCGATAAAAACGTGGGATTTTGCCTGTTATGATTCCAGGAATGGAAGCAGCCAGGTTAAAGTTGGTTTAGGAATGCTAGGAAGTGGTCACTGACATTTTCTACCGCAATTGGAGAAGATCCGAGGTGTAGAGGCAAATCAATTAGATCCGAGGCAATGGAAGAAAAGCAAAGGCAATCCAACAGGGATCGGCTGATGCTATTTGCCCATAAAAATTTATAAAATTAATATATAAAGGTCTTGGCTTGGGATTTCAATATTCCGCCAAAAAAATGTTAAGCAAATCGACACATTTTGGAAACAAACCATCCAATTAGCTCAAAATATTATGCCTTGCCTGGAACATTGATGAAATTAAGGTATCCATTAAGATCTTACACAATATGCTTAAAAATTAACAAAAACTATTAGTTATACTCCCCTGGCGTGTTTCATTTCCGACTTTCACTGCAAATAACAAATCGCTGTATACGTAACCGGTATAACAATAATATGAATACTGTTTGTATTGGTAGATTCACATTTTAACATATTTTCATGAAAAAAGACATTAGACATTTATATAAACGCATAAAAAGCACGTTTTTTGTGACTCCTAAAACAAGTAGAAAAGATTGCTGTGCCAACCTAAAATTATCTTTAATTATGCAGGACGTTCCGCACGGGTACTATGTAAAAAACCTATAAAACGTCAAAAAAACTTATAAGATGTCATCTTGCAGACTAGGTAGTTTTTAGGGTTGCACGTTTGCTCACTAGGATTGTTGTGAGCGTCTCTATGGACGAATGTCTCAACTACACGAAGACGTATTGTTGGTTGCATATGTTTTATGAAGCCTAGTGGTCTATAGCTTTCATCTCTCAGTCTCTGAGAAGAAAGTTGGTTATCTGGTTGAATAGCAAGATCACATCTGGATGATTGTGTGTATTGGTCTGCATGTGTATAAAATCAGTGATATTTGTTGTGTGAGAAAATCGTTACTGAATATGCTGCTAATCAAGTATATCTATTAGCTGTGGCCGACGGATTATCTATATGTTGTTCTTTCGGAAAACAGGTTATGTTCAAACTTATCAATTACGATTTTTTACGTTTTTGTTTGTATTTTCAAAAACTTTGAGAATCACGGGAAATCACCACCGCGCCCGCGTAGTGTGTAATTACTGTTAGCATGTATATGACTTGTACTTCGACAGTGTACAGTGAATATAATTATTTTTTATCTCACTCATTTTTTAAATTCAGCAAATTTGCATATGCAATTTCCAGAAAGGGCAAGAAAAAGTGGATGCGCATCTAATTTCTAGCCTTGAATCTCAAGTAAGTGCTTTGAGACAAGAATCCAATGGAATTATCATCAACATATATTATTAGCACACAATCCCCACTATGCCGACTGACCTCCAGTAATGCCATCTCTGAAGAAGATTTTACATCACATTATAGCTAAACACTGATAACTGAAGCCTCATGACGTTTAGGCAACATGTACAACTACAAAACGAGTTTGCAAAAGTGTCCATCAGCTAGTGCTAAGTTAACATCTTGTCCAAAAACCTACATAATGACAAAAAAACAGTATAATGTCAAAAAAATCGATATAACGTCACTTTTCAAGATACGTTAGACCCGTGCCGTTTTGGGTTTTGGCCAGGCGTACCACAACTTCCTTATTTTAAATAGAACACCTTCTCTATTATTGCATTTTCAAATGATATGCTTCATTTTAAGACAAGTTTGTCAAGTACATGTATGACCTAAAATTAGGCGTTTTTTTTTCTTGGCTATGGATGTTGTGATTGTCCGTAGGTGGTAGACGGTCTCTGACTGTCGAACGTGGAGGTACCACCCGGCGGATCTCGTAGGAGGAGCCAGAATGTGTGCATGTTGCATGCACACGTGTTCCCTCGCCAGAGTCTGTGTGGCGTTCCCCCTTTCCCCTGTATCCCCCTATAGCCCCACGGTACCCAATGGGTGTTTAGGCCTTCGTGTTAGTTGGAGTATAAAAAACAAAAATTGACAGGTATTTGAATACGCAAAATATATTTTTTTCAAATAGCAACACCCTGTTTTCTTAACACAGTCGACATGTTTTTATTACCCCACGATATTCCTGGAAGCCATCTTCAATTTTTTTATACCGACGCAGTAGCGCAGTTAGAAGCCTAAATGCCAAGACACCGCGGCTGCTATGAGGATCCCAGAGAAATTTATTTAATCCAATTTTTGAACTGACTCCTGGATTGTTCCGCAATCTCGATACCCTCGGGGCAAGGCAGCGGTCGTATCGGCCGGTTCTGAATGTTCGACTCGGTTAGGATGGGAGATCAAAGTCAGGAGGGTCTGTCTGGCAGGCACATCGCGCGGCGCATCAAGGTGAAGAGCTCTGAGGAGCGAAGCCCATTGGTAGCCTAGCGGTAGAAGAGAGCTAGACCTTTGATGGCCCGCCGGTGCGAAAGGGTCCCGAGACTGTCTGCTAGAGAAGAGTCATTGACCAGTCGGACGACCCTCCTCTAGCCAGAATCGAACATACATAATTTAGTCGGGGCGGCAGCACCCCAAATGTGTGAGCATTACTCGAGACTAGGCCTTATCTGGGCCTTGTATAGAGTGAGGAGGTCATGCGGAGGAAAGTATTTCTTAGCCCTACATAAATAGCCTAGCTTTTTCCCAGCAGCTGCTGCTATTGACGAGATGTATTCGTGCCAGACCAAGTCCTTGGTGATCTGGAGTCCGACCAGCCGAAATGAACGTCTTTTTGGCCATCCATCGAAACCGGATGAGCGCTAGGACGCTTTTTGTTCGTCAGGGTACAGTACTGTGTTTTGGAAGCATTAAACTATACATGATTGTTGCGTCCCCAAGCAGTGACAACCCCCAGGTTCTCGTCAGAGAGGAAGTCGCCGCTAGTCCTCTTTTTTTCAGCTCAGCGTCAGAGATCGGCTTGTCGCTCTGAATTCTTGCATGTAGAGTGCTGTCATCAGCAAAGCTGTGGATTGGGTTGATTGTTCAAAGGAGGTCGTTGATATCTAAGAGGAACAGTGTCAGAGCCAAGACCGATCCCTTGGAAATACCCGCGTTAACGTTGTGGGATGAAGAGGAAAGTTAGCAAAGCTTCTCTGGGAGGCCACAGGATGGAAGTTTGCATAAGAGGGCAGAATGCCACAGCTGATCGAATTCTTTTGTGATATCAAGAGCAACGTCATGAGCGTCACTATAAGGCTGGATGAGTTTACTATTGCGTGATGTAAGCTAGGAGGTCCCGCTGGTGCCGGAAACGATACTGCATGTCGCTAATCAATTTCGAGGTGGTCCAGAAGCTCTCGCGATTTATCCATCACCTTACTTGTAACACAAAGCAGAGCTACAGGTATAGGTAAGGGTCGGTCTTAGATCCTTTTTTTGGGATGGGTTGGACATGAGCAAGTTTTCAGGGAATGTGCCGGATTCATAAGATATCTGGAAGAGAGGCGAAAGAACTGGAGCAAGGTCCGCTGCACACCTCTTCAATACAAAGGCAGGAGTCAAGTCCGGACCAGAATCTTTGTTGATGTCGAGCGACTCTGCCTGAACGTTACTTCCCGCATAGTGGAGGGAACCCTTTGAATCGACGGCACTTGTTCGTTGGATGGAACGTCTATGGTGGAGTTGGCAGCAAAGATCTTGGCATGCACTTCCGCTTTAGCCTTTGAGTCGTTTACAATCGTTCTATCCTGACACGTAAGTGGTGGAAGACTACTCTGTGAGAAGTTCCTTTCAATCTGCTTGGCCAACGTCCAGAAAGATCGACTGCCATTGCGCTGCGACATTACCCACTTTGCCTAACTTATATATCGTGCTGGTCGTTGGCATTGCAAACCGCTTCGTTATATTTGTTTCTGTTTCGACTTCACGTCGGCTTTTCTACAGTGGGATTTTGGAAAGTCA